TTTGAACTCCTTGAGTTAGCTGGAGATGATCCTTTAGTGCCTTACTATCCAGACCTCTTTCTTATCTCATACCCCTCACCAGTATGAGTCCTCAGATTATTTGAACAGGTACAAAGAAGACAACAGTCTGAAAATCTATCCCTGTTACAACTCATTAAAAAAAAAAAAGAGGCCTCCCCAGTGGTGCAGTGTGTTGCACACAGCTCTATTAAGTTGTGCACTACCTCTGCAGCACTGGTTCAATTCCTGACCAGCCAGGGAGATTGCCACATGGCATGGCAGAACTCTCCTGTCTCCACCGCTGCTCCCTTCAGCAGTGCTTTGGGTTCATCTGCCTGTTCTGCTCCCTGCTCTGTCTCTGGTGAAACCTCTCACCCTCCCCATGTCTCTGGCCTGTACTCCAGTGCTTGTATAAATGGATAAATGTTAAAAAAAATAAAAAATAAAATGAGGAGACAGAAGAATGTATCACAAATGCTGGAAAACAAAATTCTTAGAGGAGTTCCAACTTAGCACAAATGCAAAACCTGACAGAAGAGAATTTCTAACTAATAGTTAAAATGATGCTTATAAATTCTAAAACAAAAACAAAATTTGAGGATGTAAAACAACAATAAGATAAAGAAAATATGAGACAACTACAATTGAAATGATGAAGCTAAGAAAAGCTACAGCAAAATAAAAACAAAATTATATTGGTGACCTGAACATCAGAAAATGGAAAAAATGTATATAATTAATAAGCTTGAAAACACAGTCTTGAATAGCACATAAATAGAACAACATAGGGGCCCTTCCTGGTGGTGCAAGGGGTTAAGACCCAGCCTATGAAGCTATCTGCAGCCACTGCAGCACGAGTTCGACCCCTGGCCAGGGAGCTACACACATTGTGCAGCAGACCTCTCCTGATGTGCCTGCTGTTCCCCTCAGCAGTGTATTTCAGCTGATCTGCCTGTTCTGCTCCCCACTATATCTCTGGTGAATCCTCTCACTCCCCACACCTCTGTCCTCTACCCCAGTTCTTGTGTGCATAAATAAATAAATCTTAAAAAATAGAACAACATAGACAAAATTTTTAAAGCAAAATCAAAGTAGTTTAAGAGACTTTTAGGACAATGTAAAGAGTAATAACACTTACATCATGGGTGTCCCATAAGGAGAAATGAGAACAAAAGGTACAGAAAATTTACTTAAACATTTCCTGAAACTATCTCATTTGAAAAATGAAGCAGACATGGGTCAAAAAGGCCCAAGGTGTTCCAAACAAATAATGCCGGATGCAACCCAAGAAACATAATAAAGCCACTGAAAATCAGTGACAGTGACAAGGACAGAATATTAAAAACTGGGCCTCCCTGGTGTCACAGCAGGTTAAGCACAGCACTGTGAAGCTGTCCACATGCTCTGCAGTGTGGGTTTGATTCCGGCCGGCCAAGGAGAAACCCATATGGCATAGCAGACCTCTCCTGTCTCACCCACTGCATCCCTCAGCAGCGTCTTTGGTCCTTCTGCCTGTTCTTCTCCCCACTCTGTCTCTGGTGAATTCTCTCACCTTCACACTCCTTTGGCCTGTACCCCAGTTCTCATATAAATTAATAAATCTTAAAAAATAATCAGAATGTCAGTGGAATTTTTTTTTAAATTTGTTTATTTACGCATACAATAGCTAGGGTAGAGGCCAGAGATGTGGGGGGTGACAGGATTCACCAGAGACAGAGTGGGGAGCAGAATAGGTGGACCGACTGAAATACACTGCTGAGGGGAGCAGCGGGTGAGACAGGAGAGGTCTGCTTCGCCATGTGGGTTTCTCTCTGGCCAGGCCTGGGATCGAACTCGTGCTGCAGAGGCTGAGGACCACTTCACAGTGCAGTGCTTAACCCCTTGAGCCACCAGGGATGCCCCAGTGGAGTTTTTAATGGAGAATTTATAGACAAGAAATGACTGGAAGGAGATATTTACCACACTTAAGATAAAAGACTTTCAGCTCAGAAGCCTTTAATCAGCAAGTTTCACATTCAATACAGAAGGAAGAATAAGTAAGTTATTTCAATGAAAATCAAAATCTAAGTTTATCAACACATATGAACACACAAAAAAATCTAAAAGTATTATTATAAAACAACAGAGCAATGAATATTGAGGCAACGCACATGTAAATCATTTCACATGGAGGAGGAGAAAAGTAACAATGTGGCCCATCAAAATAAGTCAGAGAGGACTACCCTATGGGTCACAAAAATAACATATCATATAATAACTTGTAGAAACCTCAAAAAGAAATAGATGCAAAAAGAAAGAGATGTAACATAAGCAAGACATAACAGGTCGCTATCAACACATATATATATTGTATACGGTAAACCACAAAAAATAACAAAAACATAACAAAATGACAATGAAAACTTATTGTATCCAGGGCCTGGTAGTGTGGCCTGCAGGGCAAGACAGGTGTATTTCCCATTGCTGCTAAACCAGTGGGAACCACTAAAAATGTGGTGGGTTTGAAACAGGGCAGTAGGGACAGGAGGAAGGGATAACAGGCCACCCATCTGCATGGGCTCTAAGACAAGAGAGCCACCAAAAAGGCCCAAAGGCCAAAAACCAAAACCAAGGGCTATAGTAAGATAATGCCCATGTATAGGAACTTATGGGCTACAGCCAAAAAAGACACAGTGCTGGATGAGAGAACAGGTTACTTTCTGTGGGTTCTTACCTATGCACACAATTGTAAAAGACTTCATGAGACTGGGAACAGCAACTACTGGGTTTATTTTACAAACAGGGAAAACAAAGAGCTTACTATAGCCTCAAGCAGCTGGCTATCTCACCCAGATAGAATCCACCAGAAGTACAAACAGAGTACCAGTCACCTGTCACCAGGAGTGCCAGACAGAACTGGCCAGTACTGATGGTGACCTCTCTCCCCTCATCAGAGGTTGTTTGCTGGATGTGGGGTTCTGGTCCTTCATTTTTCCTCTTTCATCAGGGGCCAGGAACAGAGTTTGGAGGCTGGACCAGTCTGGAGGCTGGAACAGAGAGTTCCACACCCTTCCCTCAGACCCTGGCTTATACGCTCTTTCAGGATGCCACACCCACACATCTGTTTGGACCATTTTTCAATTTTGTGGCTGATTGGATCATTTAGCACCAATCATCACATAGCTCACACCTAACTGGTCTCTTCCACAATCTAGGAATTATCTATGAAATAGTGGTTGTGTAAAGGGACGGTTGCTGGCTTGGAGGAGCAGCCGCCATCACTGAAATAAAAGGGTGGTTTCTGGGCTCTGAGGAGCAATTGCCACAACTAACTTGCGGTGGAGCAGCAGGATGAGAGAACTCCACTACTGCTGCTATGTCCTGCTGCTGAGGTGGCTCCCACTGCTAGGGCAGCTGGGTTCTGGTAACAGGTTTATTCATCCACACCAAAAGTTGCTGCCTGTGAGCAGTCCCTCCCTCAGGCACCAGCCAGATTAAATGGTCCAATCAGGAGGTATCAAGTAGGGTGGGGGACTGTGAAACGTAATATGAGGCACCACAAGAGACATTGTGGAATCTGCCCAGACTCCCATAGTTGTTATATACTGTGTTAGGCCTCAAAAAAAGAAGAAGGAAACTTCCTGCGGCTGACCTCTGAAGAGAGAGAAGCTGAAGAGTTTTGCAGTGACCAGAAGTTTGCTTCAAGTCTTGTCACTGCCATTGCCTGGAAGAAGCTCTGAAGTCCCCAGTCCTAGTGTCGGACTGAGCTATCTGTTGGTGTGGGCTAATATCTCACAAAGAGTTGTTCATCAGATCAGTTGGCATCACCTTGGTGCTGCTCTGTTATTGATCCAGCATCTGGTGCTTTTCTGTGGTCTGCTGCCACACCATTACAGTTACCCCACCTGTGAGTGTCTCCAGCTGCCACTGTGAGTTGGATCTTGACCTGCTGCTTGCCAGCTGCTTCAAGCTCCAGGCCTTCGTTGGCTGGATGGTGCTATCTTGGATGAGTGATATTTGGTTTGGGACTTCTGAACATGTTGGGCAATAGCAGACCACTTGTGACCTTGTAATTCTGTGTTTCCTGTCTGCTAAATAAACCCCATTATTGTTGTTTCCTGAACCTAAGTCATCATGCAATTGGGCACACAGGTGAAGAACCCACAGGCAATGCCCTGTTCTCTGTTGGGCACTGTCCTGGGTTGGCTATAGCCCCATTTGATTATGACACAAAAAACACCTTTAAATAAATATAGCCTGAATTCACTAGTCAGAAGAGGTAAAGTGACTTAATTTTTTCAAAGCAAACTTTAACATTCTGGTGTTTACAAGAAATCCATCTTGCCAACAGAGACAAGTATAGACTTAGCTATAATCATATAATTTGTTTGTGTATTCATCAAACAAATAACAAAAAATAACAAAAAAACAAACAAATTATACAAGCAAATAACAAAAAAAATTCAGAAATAGCTTTATTTTTTTTTTTTTTTTTAGAGGCATGTTTTTTTTTTTATTTATTTATTTGTTTGTTTGTTTTGTTTATACATGCACTGGGTACAGTCAGAAGCGCGGGAGGGTGAGAGAATTCACCAGAGCCAGAGTGGGGAGCAGAGCAGGCAGAAGGACCGAAGTACACTGCTGAGGGGAGCAGCGGGCGGCAGGAGGGGTCTGCACGCCATGTGGGACCCTCCTCCGGTGGCCGGGGAGCAGCCGGGGATTGAACCGGCGCCGCAGCGGCCACGGGCAGCTTCGCAACCCAGCGCTCAACCGCTGCGCCACCGGGGAGGCCCCAGAAATAGCTTTAAATATATCTGATAGAATAGACATTTGTTTTAAAAGGCCATAAGTGATAAAAATGGACACTACAAAATGATTGTCCATTGAAACAAGAAATAGCATACATAAATAACTGTGTGCCAAATGATGAAACACAAAGATACATAAGACTATTAATAATAAACTTCAGAGAGAGAATAATATTTTCAGAGAATATTTAATAGCAACATAATTAGTTTTACCTGAACCCAGCTGCCTCAGCTGTCAAAGACTACAGGAGCAGTTGTGTTCTTTTACCCTGCTGCACCACCACAAGTCAGTTGTGGCAGTTGCTCCTCAGACAATAATTACCTTTTTGTCAGTTGTGGCAGTTGCTCCTGAGAGAGATTTTATATAACAGTGTACTTCCTTGATCATGGAATGGACCAATCAGGTGCTATGGGCTGATTGGTAAATGGTCCAATCAACCACAGGATTGAAAAATGGTCCAATCAGACTTGTGGGTGGGGAAGCCTGAAAGAGGATATTAGCCAGGGTCAGAGGGAACTGAGAGTGCCGCCAACACCAACCCCTGGGGAGATAAACAGCAGAGACAACCCCAACCCCTAAAGAAAAGAAGATGGTTCCAGCCTCCAAAGAAGAAGAAAGAAAGGGAAGACTCCATTTCTGACCTCTAAAGAAAGAGGGAAAGAAGCATCCAGCAGCCAACCTCAAGGAGGGAAGAGAGGCCAAAGCCCTCTGTCAGAGACAGGGCCTCCCGTCCTGTCTCTGACATTGCCTGAAAGGAGCACCAAAGGTCTTGGTGCCTCAAAGAGCTGTTGCTGTTGGTATAGCCCAACTAACTCAGAAAGAGCTGTTAACACTGAGTGTCTCTGACACCATCTCTGAGGGACCATTACTGCTGGCCAGTATTGCCCAGCACTCCTGGTGACTGGTGACAACTATCACTGACGTTATCTGGGTGAGATAGCCAGGCATTTGTGGATACAGTATGCTCTTTTTTGCCCTTATTTGTAAACTAAACCCCATGGAAGTTGTTTCTGGAGCCTGAGATCTCTTACCATTGTGTGCATGGGTGGGAACCCACAGACAGTGACCTGTCCTCTTACTGGGCACTGTCCTTTTTAGGCTATAGCCTTGGTTTTGGTTATTGGCCTTTTGACCTTTTGGGGCTTTTTGGTGTCTCTCTGGTCTCAGAGCCCAGACAGGTGTGTGGCCATTCCATCCTTTCATCCTTCCATATGGCCTCCTGCCTTGTTGCTGTTTTGCCTTGTCCACCCATGTTTACTAGAAGAAATTAAGACCCTACTAAAGACAATGAATAGGGCCTCCCCTGGTGGTGAAGCGGTAGTACGCTGGGATGTGAAGCTGCCCGCAGCCTCTGCAACACCGGTTCAATTCCCAGCCACTGGCAAGGGTCCCACATGGTGCAACAGGCCTCTCCTGCTATGCCCGCTGCTCCCCTCAGCAGTGTATTTCATCACTCTTCCTGTTCTGTTCCCCACTCTGGCTCTGATGAATTCTCTCACCCTCCCGCGCTTCTGACTGTACCCAGTGCTTGTATAAATAAATCTTAAAAAAATAAATAAATAAAGACAATGAATAGATCAACAAGATAAAGAATAAATAAGGAACAATTGCCTTAAATGAGGAACTAGAGAAAATAGGTCTAACAGTCATCTACAGAACTCTTCATCCAAAACCCTCTGCATATATATTTATTTTCCAAATGCATATGGACAATAGTGAAGAATAGACCATATGATGGGACACAAATCAATTGTCACTAAAACAACAAAGATCAAATCTATACCTGAAACAGGGGTGTACAGGGCAGAGGGCAACAAGGCAGGAGGCCAGATTGAAGGATGGAACAGCCTCCCAACTGCCCAGGCTCTGAGACAAGAGAGCCACCAAAAAAAGCCCCAAAAGGCCAAAAACTAAAGCCAAGTTCCAAAACAGTGCAATAACCACACAACAGGGACATATGGGCTATAGCCTAACAAAGGACAGTGCCTGATAAGAGGACAGGTCATTAACAGTGTATTCTCACCAATGCACACAATTGCAAGAGACCTTAGGCTTCAGGAACAACATCCATGGGGTTTATTTTACAAATAAGGGCAACAAAGAGCGTACTGTATCCACAAATGGCTGGCTATCTCACCCAGATTATGTCAGTGATGGTTGTCACCAGTCACTAGGAGTAGCTGGATAGCACTGGCCAGCAGTGATGGTCACTACTGGTCCCTCAGAGATGGTGTCACAGACACCCAGTGTTAACAGTTCTTTGTGAGTTAGTGGGCTATACCAACAACAAACAGCTCTTTGAGGCACCAGGCCCAGGATCTTTAGTGCTCCTTTCAGACAACGTCAGAGACAGGACGGGAAGCCCAGTCTCTGACAGAGGTCTTTGGTTTTTCTTCCTTCCTTGAAAGTAGGCTGCTGGATGCTTCTTTTCCTCTTTCTTTATAGGCCAGGAATGGAGCCTTCCCCTTCTTTCTTCTTCTTCTAGAGGCTGGAACCATCTTCTTTTCTTCAGGGGCTGGTGTTGTCTCTCCTCTTTGGGTTGGCATCATCTCTTCTGTTCTCCTTGGGGCTGGCATCGGCTCCGATCTTCAGCTCCCTCTGACTCTGGCTAATATATTCTTTCAGGCTGCCCCACCCACAAATCTGATTGGACATTTTTCAATCCTGTGGCTGACTGGATCATTTAGCACCAATCAGGCCATAGCTCACACCTGATTGGCCCATTCCTGAATCCAGGAAGTACACTGTTACATTAAAGGTCTCTGAGGAAAAACTGCCACAACAGACTTGTGGTGGAGCAGCAAGGTGAGAGAACACCATTGCTGCTCCTGGCTCCCAATACTGAGGCAGCTGAGTTCTGGTAACATTCTTAGTATTCTCTCTGACCATAATGCCATAAAAACAGAAATTTACCATAAAAACACAAGAAATACAATGCATACATGGAGATTAAATAACATGATGCTTAATAGCTATTGGTAAAAGAGGACATCAAAGCAGTATTTGACAATATATTGAAATGCATTAAAATGATAATATAAGCTACAAGAATCAATGGGATGCTGCAAAAGTAATGTTGAGTGGAAATAGTTGCATCACTTGCCCACATTAAGGCACAAAAATTGTTCCAAATAAGAAATTTAATTACAAGCAGCTTTAGAAAAAGGAAGAAAAAGACCCAAAGTTAGTCGAAAGAAGAAAAAGTAAAAGTAATAGGAGAAAAAAATGAATTAGAGATCAAAATGCTATCCAAAAAATGGTAAAACCAAGAGCTTCTTCTCCTAGAAGATGAATGTAATAGTTAATCTCTAGCTAGGCTAATAATAAAAAGATGAGAGAAAATATTAATAAGTAGAATAACAAATGAAAGAGAACAAATTATTGCAGACAGCACAGAAATACAAAAGATAATATGAAATTACTATAAACAGATATGTCTGTAAATTTGCTAAACCCAAAGAAAGAGAAAAAATTCTAGATCAATATCACCTATCAAGTCTAATCTAAGAAACAGATGAATTGAAGAAACTGATCATATCCGTGGAAGTAGAAGAAATAATAAATCTTGCAAAAAATAAACCCCAAGGCTAGGTGGCTTCGCAAATAGATTGCTTCAAACCTTTAAAAAACTTTAAAGAACTGAGACCTCTGTTGCTCAAATTGTTTTTAAAAATGTGAGGGACTGCTCCCTAATATATTTTATGATGCCAACATTATATGATGCCTAATACCCAAATCAGAAGTCAGCACAAGAAAAGAAAATTATACACCAATATTCCTGATAAATATCAATGAAAAAATCATCAATAAAATACTAGTAAATTAAGAAACATATACCATAATCACGTGAGAATTATCCCAGGATGTAAGAATGATTTAATATACATAAATTGATCAATGAAATAAATCATGTCAATGTAGGTAAAGATAAAAATTATATGATGCTATCAATAGATGAAGAGCAAACATTTTATAAGATTGATCACTCATTTACAATAAAAAGTAATAAAAAGATGGGGATAGAAGGAAGTTGTTTCAATATAATAAAGACTATATTACAAAACCAATAGTCAATACAATAATGATGTAACTTGAAAATTTCCCCTTAAGATCAGAACACCACTTCTGTTTAACTCAGTATTTGAAGTTTGGGCCAGAATTAAAAGAAGAACATAGGAAACAAAAGGAACTCAAGTCAGAAAAGAAGTAAAACTGTTGCTAATCACTGAAAATATATTACATAGTGAAATTCCAAGTGGTATATCAAAATGTAATTAGAGACAATAAATGAACACAGCTAAGAGGCAGATAACAAAATCAACATACAAAAATCCATACCCATTTATATACAAACAATGAGTAAGAAGCAAAAGAAATTAAGATAATGATTTCAATTATAATTGCTTCAAAAATAATTAAATGCCTTGGAATTAACCTAAATAAGTGTATAAAACACAAGAACTACAATATATGACTAAAATCCTTTAGTCAAACACAAGGAATTATAAGAGTATCCCATATTCATTAAGGGGAGAATCATAATAAAAATTATTTTCTTCCTAAAATTATATATAAGCTGAAGAAATTCCCAATCAAAATACCAGCTTTTTTTCCATATAAATTGTACAAAAATATTGACATTGTTGAGGAGGGAAAAAGAGAAAAATGGAGGCAATCATGTTAGTAAATTTATTATAAAGCAATTTTATTAAGAACAACATGGGAGGCCCTATAGATTTTTATTTCTCATCAATAGAGATGCCTATTTTTTAGACTTTTTTTTACAAATTAAATTAATCTAAATGTGATTAATCCTAGGAATGTACAGTAGATTTAATATTTTTAAAACACTCTATGTGGGCCTCCCCTGATGGCACAGTGGTTGAGCACTGGGCTGCGAAGCTGCCCGCAGCATCTACAGCGCCAGTTCAATCCCCAGCTGCCCGTGAGAGTCCCACAGGCGGGCAGACCTCTCCTGCCACTCCCGCTGCTCCCCTCAGCAGTGTATTTTGTCAGTATCCCTGTTCTGTTTCCCACTCTGGCTCTGGTGAATTCTCTCACCCTCCCATGCTTCTGACTGTACCCAGTGCTTGTATAAATAAATAAATAAATCTTAAAAAAAATCTTATCAATCAATCAATAAATAAATAAATAAAACACTCTATGTGTTTTACCATGCAAATAATTTAAAAAGGAAAAATAAGTGATTATCTCAAGACTTAGAGAAATAGTTTGAAAAAAAAAAAAAAAACCTAAACATTCATTCCTGATTGTTGGGGAAAAAAAGCCAATAATATAGAAACATATACATATATCTTAACCATGACAGAGCACATACATGAAATAACTGCATCT